ATGGAACAAGATGTTTCTAATGATGTCCAATCAATTCTTTTAAACTGTTTCTATGAAATCAAGTAGGAACCAGACAATTAAAGCACTGCTTTAGAGTAAGCCCATTAAAGGGATATGAAATAACAATTCATCATCGAGATTTCTTTAACTGCTCTTAATATGGGCTCTTTTGTTTAGAAGAATCTTCCAGCTTTAGTAACGAAACTTCTTCATGTTGTTCTCAACCTAGAGTAAACTGACCTCTACTACTTCAGTTCCTAAGTACATCAAGCCCATAAAACGCTCAGCATAGCTATCGCAATGACGCCGATTTGAAGTTAAATTTCCATCCCATTCCCTGTTGTACTCCATAGACATGCACTTGACTAACGTGTAATTTTGCTCGGCATACTGAAACATCTTACCCCTTAAAGTATCCCTTAAAACGCACCTTGTAAAACTCACACGGCGAAGGTATCTGGGATCCACGCATTTCTTTTCTAATAAGTCAAGTTGTACACGTGGTGCATGCGGCATATAGAGCTCAAACCTTTTCAGATACTCAGGATAATGGAGTTTCACTTCCTTTGTCATGTTCTTTTCCTCCTCTCGTCTTTCGCTAGTTGTCTCCTGCGTGATCTCCGTTGTTGCAACCTGAGTTGTTGTTGTGTGTGTGAACTCGGACGACTCCGAACTGCTGACTGTTGTTGTTGTACCGGAATTCTCAGTTGACTTTGATGTGCTGGTTGTCGTCGTCGTTATGGCAAAGTTCGTCGTTTTCTGTCCAGTCATAGTTGTTGGGTTTTTCTCTGCTGTGGTTGATGTTGAAATCGACGTCGAGTGGATTTTCTTTGCTGTGGTTGACGTTGGAATCGACGTCGAGTGGATTTTCTTTGCTGTGGTTGACGTTGAAAACGACGTCGAGTGGATTTTCCTTGCTGTGGTTGACGTTGAAATCGACGTCGAGTGGATTTTCTTTGCTGTGGTTGAAGTTGAAATCGACGCCGAGTTAGCAGCAAGGCACACTCCAAGAATTGCTGTGCTAGTCACAATGGGGAAAATGCGAATCATCATTTCATAAAATGATCCTGACTAGGATGATGATGCTCATATACCAAAAAACATCGTGGAAAGATAGCATTATCACAGTGAATAATCAAGTGAATCCTTGTATTCCAACGTAATAGTCAATCTCTGCTTATATTTAGTCATCCTTCTGTAGCTGTTCAGATGTATCCAAAACAACGTACAAACATAATTTGGGATTCACACAGGATTCATAATTCAGCATGGAATTTGAAAAATATTTTGAGTAAGGATGTTGTTGATTACAGTTGCTGTAGGCAGGTGCTTCAAGCATTTTGGGCGTATACTTTTTACTGGGTTTCTTGCTAATAGGAAGATTTTTAAAGGTAGCGTATAAGAAATTGAACGTAATAATAAAGCTTTAGTAAAAAATTCGGTCATCCATATTAGCGTCTCCCTCCCAATGAATTTTTAAGATAACAGATTTCTCTGCGAATTCATTTGTGTTAGAATGATATTGCGTTTGTAGTGGTTTCATAATCTCAATGATACTTGAAGGATTTTTTTTCAAACCCTTTAAGGAACAAGCAACACTTTGAAACAGTGAGCCACTTTGATCTTTCAAAAAAAAAGATAATAATTGTGCACGCTGATCTTGAAGATAGGGTGGCCGCGGTAGTAATCGCTACAGGC